TTGGTGTTCTTCTGTTTCTTATCATTTCCTAACTGTTTTACTTCGGCGATTCTCAAGTATTTCAATGCTCATCGTCAACAGACGTTGCCATCAAAACATCATGTTCACGATGAAACTGCACATAAAATTACATACATTGTGAATATCAAAAGGGCTTGCATTTGAATGATTTCATTGGAGACGAAAATGACATCTGATTCTTTCTACAGTCGAAATCCGTTTTCATTTGATCATTATTTAGTCTAATAATGCAAGATTGCATCTCGTCAACGACGATTCGTGATATATTTGAGGAGTTAGTTCCACACACAGTAATCGCTATCGACGAAGGACAATTCGTTCGTTTTTATTTCTAACCAGTAGAATTTCCATTCAACAAGTTCACATTTCGCATTCATCCCTGTTCGAAACACTGATTTCACTCGTATCTAATTCACAAATTTTGTTTTGTATTCATCTCTTCCACTTCCTATCGTAGTGAGTGATTGATACAACCATGATCCAAATGATACATTTACAGTTCCCCGACATTGTTGAGTGTTGCGAAAAACTTGCGAATATGGGTAAAATAGTGATCGTTGCAGCACTAGATGGTGATTATAATCGAAAGGTTCATATCATTACATACTCATTTTCTGTAGTCAGCAAACAAAATTCCTCTTCAATTTCCAACATCCTGGAAGAGATCTAATTAAGCTATTGAAGTTTTCGTTCACTGTAATCATACTTTTTTTCGATATTTATAAATACATTTACAACGCCATTTTCAAGCGATTTGCATGACGAGAATGATTCAAAGCAGTTACTTGAGATTTAAGGAATTCGATAATCATGTGCTGGAGCTATGTCCGTTGGCTGAAAAGGTGTGCAAATTGCGCGCCGTTTGTACGAAATGTGGAGGTGATGCACCCTTCACGAAGAGATTATCCGATGATACCGAGGTACGTCTGGCAACGATCTCACTAATCATGTTTTCAATAAATTACAAACGTTCAATTCGAACGATATNTCTGTCACAAATACTTTAGCAGAAATGCCAAGATGCATGTCAAAATTTCTCTCATTGTTCAAAAGTGAAATAGCTCTCACTGATATCAGACTGCAAACAATCAATAACTTGAATGTTCCTTCGCCTTCAACAATAGAAATGACTCTACGATGAAGTTAGTTTCTAGCAAGAGGTGATCGGTGGTCTTGAGAAGTATCAAGCGATGTGTCGTCGTTGTTATCTGGATGAGGACAAAGAAAATTGCTTGGCCCAACATCCTCCACTGCAAGAGATTCACGCTGAAACACCCTTCTGCGTTTCGGCAGTCGGTCTCAAAAGATTCAAATGTGATTTACCCACTCATAACTGCTGACATCAGATCTGAAATAACGTTGATCTTATTCTAACATGGTACATAGTGCTTAATATCGTATTAACATGCAAATGCCAAGATTCGCCCGTTCTTTTCATCTCTCCTTCCATACCTTCTCATAATTGATTGACTTGTATCTGTGACTGATATGCATTAGTCATTTTTCAGTTTTACAGTNTACAGTTTTTATAATGTTTCAGTTAAAATTTTTCAGTTTTACAGTTTTCAACTACGAAATGCTAATCGAAATATGTTTCTTAACATTACATTGAAGTGCTATAAAATCTGCATTACTCATTTCTATCGATGCTCTCAAGTTTCATCAATATTTTAGTTTTTATCGAATTAATGACAAACCACTGAGACACAACAACAATAAAAAGTAATTAGTTTAGGAAATACCATTGAAAATTAAGAAACACCAACAAATATTCGGCTCAAAACCATCATTTAAAATGAAAATAATCCTGACAGTGTTTGAAATTCTGCATAAGACGGAGATTATTGCCAATCGAAATGAATGCGAGGATTATGTATGTTCAAAATGTACTTTAGAAATTATGAAGCTTATGAAGGGAATTTTTGACAGAGTTCGATCAGCGAACAGATCCACCTGCCTAGTCAGGGATCCCCATAGAAGAGACGGAAAATTATCCATTTTCGGGCAATTCGGGGATGTTAAGGAGATAATGGCGGGGTCGGTAACTTAGTTCTGTCGTTATGAGCAGAAGTGGCGATATTGTATCAAGAGGGGGAGGGGATAATGAAGCATCAGAGGGCGTATGGAGTACCCGATGGTGGGGATCACTGACCTAGACGAATGACAGGGATTGGACCGAATGTGATTTTTGACGTTAAGTGGTCAGAAAAAAAAAACCAAACAGCACGCAAATACGGCAACATAAGCGACCCATCAAAAAAATTCCAGCACAAAAAGAAAGTCTCATGCAGGATGAACCAAGGAAGAGAATGTTTAATGGTAACTGAAGTGATTCGATAGCCTTCTATAGCCCTAATGATTTTCCTCCGCGATATCGTTTCTTAGTTGCGAATTCGAAACTCTGTTGAATGTAGTCAATTGCAATGCGTTAAATTTAAATCGTTTCATTGACAGAAGGCTAACGATATAATCCGACTATGTACAATATGCGAAACACTTCTCGCAATCTGTTATGCGATGATAACATTAATATTACATAACATTTACACAATCGCGTAAACAATGCGTGTAGGTTTCGGCAACTGTGGTAGGAAAATGAATGAGAATGTCATATAAAATATTATAATACAACGTGGCACAACCTGCTGTTGATGGCATAAATTCACCGAAATCTGTTCTGAGCAATGATAGTTTGACTGTCATTAAAACACACAATAAATATTCAGTTTCACAAGAATCAAATCGTATTTAACTCAACATCGAAAGAAACATCATCAAAAACGTGCGAAAGAATCACAGGCGCAAGATGAGATCAACTGAACCACCATCAAATCACCGAGAAATTTCTGAAATTATTCGAGTGGATGAAAAAGCACTGCTCAAGTGACAATTCGTTTAAGTGCCTTCGTCATACTATGCACGAACTGCTGTTTACTGAGTGAGTTGAATCAATATGCAAAAATTTCGAATGATAAATTTTGAGGTGAATTGAATCCAATCATTAAGTACTCAACGAAACAAAATTCGATGGTTTCAGTGCGTTGAATATTTTTCCTGCAAGGCGACACATTCAGTGTGTAACTGGTGGTGAAGTAAGANTCAGTGAGGTAATGTTTGAGAAGATGATGGCATTCGATCGACAGTACACATTGGTTGCATCAGTTGACAAAAGTGAAGCGAAAAAATGTATATATTTCAATTGGTCACATAAAAATATCACAAAAAGCCAGACTGTGACCAGTTGATCATATTATAGCATACGAAAGAAGGTGGATGACGAACAAAAAATTTATCGATGTCAAGCAATGCGCAAACTACTCATCAAACCATTCTGTTGATTGAGCACCTGGTAATTGCATTGCCGCTGACGTATCATTGGAAGGTGCTTGTTCAGATGAAGTGTTTGATGATGTTACTAAATTTGCACTTATTTGTCGCTCTAATTGCATGACACCAGCCAAAAAGTCATGATACCTTCCATCATCGTGTCGTCCAATTGACGGTTTTCGCATACGTACCAACGACGCCGTGGTAACATTTGGCGATGTCATCGCTAATGCCGTTGCTGTTGGATTTGGTAGATGTTTCAGACCAGACTGTGCTTTCATCTGACCGGCAGCTTTCTTTGAGATTCTCGACGATGCTTTCGGGGTATCGTGAAGCGACGATGCGGTGTTATTACGTAACTGCCTTTGAGTTTGTGCTGCAAATGCATTCGTTTGTGAATGACGTCGCATATGAGCACTAGTTTTAGTGATATGATTACCATTATTATCAATGTCGTTATTATTATCACTATGAATCACATTTACTATATTATGATAATTATCAGGATCATTACCATTACTCTTCTTAGTTGCAGTAGCAGACTGTAGGACCTGTTGTTGCTGTTGCGTAAACATGTGAGCATCGGTTGTTTGCGCTTGCGAGTGCGGTTGTTCCTGGGATAGTTGACATATATTGTTATTATCAGCAGTGATGTTCGCAGATGAGGTTGGCAGAGTGTTAGCTGAGGCGAAATGATTGAACGACTGCTGAATTGAGGCGAGTCTCAGCAAGTAATCCGATATGCCCGTATCCCTTCGTTGTGTATGGTGGTCATAGTAGTCGTTGACAGTTGCTAGTGAGGTTGGCATTGCCGAGATTGAGGCTCGCCGTTGCGATTGTTGTTTTTGCTGCTGCTGTTGTTGTTGTTGTGCTTCACGGGCTATTATAAAGGCTTGCTGTTGGGCTTGTTGTAGAGCATGAGCTTGTATTTGGGCTGCCGTTTGACCATTCATATGAGTTGAGGATTTACTTGCGAAATCAGCTTCAGATGGAGCTTGAACTTGGGCTTGCACTTGGCTTTGGGCCTGAGCTTGGGCTTGGGCCTGGGTTTGGGCTTGAACCTGAGCTTGGGCTTGGGCCTGAGCCTGGGCTTGGGCTTGGGCCTGGACTTGTGCTTGGGCCTGAACTTGAGCCTGTTGCATTCTTGCGTGCACCTGTGCCTGTGCATGAAGTTGTTGCGCTCGAGCGTGCGCCTGGAGTTGTGCTCTTGTTTGCGCTTCGATCTGAGCACGGGCATGGGCTTGGGCCATTGAGTGCTGATGTGCCGCTTGGAGTTGCTTGAGCAGTAGGGCACCACTGCTTGAGGATTCCGCTTGTGCTTGGCTGTGTTGATGGGATCTCGCTTGAGCTTCGAGAGCAGCGAACTGATACTGCATTGAATGCGGTATGCTCAAGCCTGTCGCATTACTGCCACATCCTTAAATGTATCCGTTGAAAATGATCTTTCATATGTCAGCAAATCATCACATTCTCATCGTTTCATTCCACTTGCATCATTTTCCGAGATCTTCGTAGCAAAACAATTTTTTTTTCTTTTCACTTCGAATGAATCAAATTCTGACCAGAGAGCAGCCCTAATGAAATTAGATTCGAAAAGTTGTCACNTCACCACTGATCAAAAACGTGTGTAACTAAATGTAACTAATTTGGATTAGTTGCAGTACCTGTGAGCGCACTGACTGTCGGAACAGCAGGTAGAGGACTGAGGACGTTGTTCGTCGATACAGTGTTTGTCATTGAGGAGGCTGCACATGCTTGCGACATCATTGATGAATTTGATAGTAAACCGATCGGATAGCTCATTGCTGATGAAGTGACACCGTCAGCACTGTTGTTCATCGTGTACGAATGAGGGAAACCAATTGCGTTCATTGATCGCTTCGGTACCCCTACAACACTCAGCGGATCCTGAAATGAGCCCACTGTAAGGCACTCAACTCTTCTAATGTTTCATTAAGAATTTTAACTGTCGCTTAATGAAGTCAAAACAATAGAACATTCAATATTCAATATCATCATGACACAACCCTGGTATTGAGGCTGATAAGGATGGTTGGTGGAAACTGCAACTAATTGGTTTGGTAATTGTTCACCGTAAAACTATCCAGTTGTTTATGGCTCAACTCAACTCAAAAATGGTGATACGTCAGATAGATAGCACGACGCTGAGTCGCTAGCAACTGAACAAATTGGAATCATTTATGAGCGCATGCAAATATGCGATATATCGTGCTTTGTGGCATGTAGTAGTGGAATGGGTCGGTCATCAGTCAGCGTATGCATATTACTTTGTAATATTCCACTGGTAATAATCATATTTTGCAGATTATATTTTCAGTGAATGAATCAAGCCGAATGATAATAGCGCTATTGATGAAATCGAAAACAACAATTCTGGCCACTGTGAATAGTTGAATAATCCTTATAATACAATGATCGCGATAACATTAATAAATTGTTTCTCGCGCGACAATAGCGTATCGAATAAAATTGTTTATGCATAAAATGATATTATGCGTTTGTTTAATTGTTCTTTATGCAATTCTCAAACGCTTCATTAAGCCATCCAAAATGCTAATTCAACTGTACAATAACAGTGATAATATTACTCATCGCAGTAATAGAATTGTAATAATGCAAGAGCTTGTAACTTGTATTATCTTAATCTGAATATCATTTTCGCTTTCTCTGTAACGTAATGTTTTCCTAACATAAGGCATATTTTAATTCATTATTTGTTTTTGATCATTTATGTTTTATCATGTCATTCGTGTTGTGAGCTTCGGAATGTTCAACGAATGAATCGAAGTGTATACTTCATTCTGGCTGAATTTCACTCATGAGTAGTGAACCTTTCAGCGTTTGTTCTAGTGAATTCAATTCTAGCATTGAATTTTCTCAGTGATATGTGAAATTACATTGCTTCATTTCCAGTGATATATGCAGTTTATTACATGATTGGTGAGAATGAACAAGAAATATTGAGGTTCTCCGTGCAACAAAATACTTCTGATTGTATTTCAGAAAACGATCTGCAAACTCGAACGCTTTGCAAATTGAGGCACTAACAACTGATCAAATGATTCTGCTCCAAATAAGGTGCTGGCTGCATTAAAGCAAATTATAATATTGCAAAGATCTCGAATATTATATGCCAGCGGTGATGTGGTGCCAATGAACACCGTTGCACTTAAGAATTAAACATCACGCATTCAGTGGTAGCAGACACAAATGTTGTAAACAAAAGTACTGCATGATATCATAGTTGTGTTACTATTGCAAAATAGCATCGTTGAAGTGTTTCGTCGAAAACGTATTCATGCAAATAAGCGTATACTACCTGCACAGCAGCACATTTGAGCATCACCGAGTTGTTGTCGATGACAAGAGGACGTTTCAGCGGATTGTGCTCATCCACAGCATTTGCCGTCATTTGCGCGTTCGGAGCACTGATTGTGAATGACATCACGACAACATCAACAACTAGCACTTCTTCTGTCAAACTTCCTTCTTTTCCTTTGTCTTCGTGTTCAAGAAAATCGCTGAACTGTCTAAAAAAAGCATTAATGTAAACGTTGGCAGAGAGTCTAATGGGCGATACATTAACGATTTATAAGAAGACGGATGTAAAACAATGAACATAATAGCAATAATTATAATCTCGAAAACAATGAGCACCTAATCACACCAGGACTTCACACTAAGAATTCAAATGAATCCGGTTTCATAGCGAAAAAATTCATTATGAAAACGAAAAAGTGCATCATCAATGGAATCGTTGGAATCTATTATTGTCCAGGTCATCACGTGAATCACTTTAGTACTTGATAAATGTGAGACCATACATGACAATAATAGAATTCAAACTAATCTGATTAAAAACAATTGATAAACTTGTTGCTGATCATCGAAAAAAGAGCTGTCTCACGTCATTAATAGAGAATTTTATCATAATGAAGTGCTGAATCAGTGAAAATGCCTCGCTGCATCGCGTATTTAATCAGGAACAGCGCTTCGTAAATCCGTGAAAGTGCAATGCACTTTCACGGATTTACAATTCTCTATTAATGTCTCACGTCATTAATAGCGAATTTTATCATAATGAAGTGCTGAATCAGTGAAAATGCCTCGCTGCATCGCGTATTTAATCAGGAACAGCGCTTCGTAAATCCGTGAAAGTGCAATGCACATTTGCGTAAGAAGATTGGCAGTATTATCAAAAATATATCAAAAACAAAAAATATATCGTGGAGATTCCAAAGATTCCATTGATGATGCACTTTTTCGTTTTCATAATGAATTTTTTCTTTATGCAAACACAGAAACCGGATACATTTGAATTCTTAAGGTGGAGTTCTCGTGTAATTAGCTATCTTCATGATGATTACATTTATTACGTCGAAAAAGACTTTTCGGCAAGGTTTGCACGTAAAAGAAGCTGTTATGTATTCGCTATGGAAATAAATGGAAAAATTATTCCTTTAACTCGCACACCATTCTTCTCATATTCTCATGAATTCTTAATTGTCGCGAGCAAGAACTGCGAATTTAAGTGGATTTTGTGGTAAAATTGATTCGCTCAAAGCAATCAATAATAGTTCATCGATATCTACTGAACATAGAAATTGCATGCGAAATGTTGCAAGAACATAATAAATCATTGTAGTCATATATAATTGCTGCAATTGAGAATGAATCCATAAAAACTTCTCGCTACAGCTTGATTTCATAAAAACAGGAGCATTCAATTGAAATGTGCAATCCACTGCTTGCTACAGCTTGAAGAAAGAAGTGGATTGCACATTTCAACAATCTCCGAACCAACAATAGACATGTCGAACGAAGACGTTAGGAAATTACGAAACATGACTGTCTTCTTTCAACAATTTATCAAGATCAATGATCACTACTGATAGTGAGAATAGAACTTGAAATCGTTTTAGGGAACACTACTGACCCGAAGTAGTCTCTTATTTGTATGCGATCATGTTCACACTTATTATCAGACTTGGAGTGCGTTGTGTGAAAGTTTAATTTGTCGATTGTTGACCACAAAAAGTCGCATTTTCATTTTCAATCTTCGTAACAATTACGCTAGCAAGGTGACTGCTTGAATTTGTGATGCATAAAGTGTGAAATCCCACGACGATTACATTGACGAGCACATATACACCTGAACAATATTACAACAATAGCGTATGCGTTAACTTAGCTGTAGACATTTACCAAAGCCTTCATGAATTTCCTCAATGAACCAAACTGCTAGGTTCAATCAGGGTGGGTGTGATCTCTTTTCATAAGTAATCTCATCACATACTTAATTAAGCCTCGCAGAACGATATCTACCATGATAAAATAACTAACGCTCATAGTTGCTCTAGCGATTGCGAACCGAATGATGATTTGACAAGTGATTATTCATGATTTGATTAGCTCAAAGGACATTTGGTGATATTGAGAAGTGATCAAAACAGCCAATAAATGTCTCTGGGTGAATNAATCATTCCATACTCGTGAAGAATGGAGAGGAAAAAAAGCGAGCGAACGATATGCATGCAAATGTGACAATAAAAATGACGATATGGCATTATCAGAGGTTTTGTGAAGCTCAATTTACATAATCTGTTTACCATTACAATACTTCTCTTCGATCGCATCCAAACGATGCCGCAATCTGGGATACAAATCTTCACGCGGCAACATCAGGCATTCCATTTGCTTCCTCACTATTCAGCCACACTCATCGTCAATAAAATATTCCTTAGCAGTTATCGCCAGGTTCTATCACAGATATTGCAAACAAAAACTATTCATAAAAGGATATTACTAGAACACGTTAAAGCCTATCGTATGATTGATTCAGCAACGCAGAAGTACGGTACCGAAAGGTTCTTTTCCTGCATTCAAGTAATCACTCGAGTTGGCTCAAAGTGCAATCCGCCAGATCAATTTCAGCCAAACATTCAAAAGTGGCTTATCGCAGCCCATTATCGAACCTTACAATAGCAGCAACTGATCGCTTTGAAATGATATTGCGACAATGCTGACGATGATGATGAGATGATGTATGCAGAAAGCATTTCGTCGATTGGTTATTCTGATTACATCTACATACGAATATTTGTTTGAATGAACGAGAATGACGCATGGCAACAGAGACTGATTGTGAAATCAGTCGACAGAATTAAAAATTCGTTTGCAAAATCGCAAATTATATTTTGCAAAATTGTGCTCCGAATAAAATACTTTTTTTTAAAAATCAAATCTATTTTCATACCAACACACGGCTTATTGGAACGGCAGCTTGCGGGAAAGGGACTCACTTGCTCCGCTACACATCAGGCAGCATCGGTTTACTCGTAGGAGGCATACGTTCAGTCCTGCCCACGCTTACACTTAGGCCTAGCCTCTGGCTCGGAGACATTTTGAATGTATTCGGATGTGTTCCTTGGAAAGAGTGTCGTGGCCGCTTGACACTAACTTCCCTAGTAGAGAATTTGAAGTGCTAAAATTATCCAATAAATTGCAAAACAATTTATCTTGTGAGATGGAGAGATTACGCCTTGTAAAAATCGTATAATTGAAGAGGTGAGCAGCAAAATTGCATAGGCTCGCACTCAAGACTGAAATCCGTGGTGGCTCAAGCTGACTGTTTGGTTTACTGGCTCTCCACGCCTCAAGTTATGGCTT